GCCTAGGGCCCCTCTCCTTCTTCATCTCCGGTGCATCTACCGGAGACAAGAATGGGAGGAGACCCATCCTTTTTCCTGTAGTTTTTCTAGTGTCTTAGGGTTGAGTAGAAATAAATTTTCTAGCGAAATCAGATGATTTTCGGTTGGGATCGTGTGTCCTATGATGACTTCGGAGATTGCCACGATGAGATCGCTGTTCAAGGCATCAATTTCATCGGCAATCAACCATTTTGTGGCCCTTATCTGCAAGGGGAGGGGTGCTTCTGGGCATCCCCTACGAGGATAGCGACTCCGGGTCATTGATCTCATGGTCGATGGTCATGGAGAGGAAATCAAGGTCTCGAGGTCATGAATCTGCATCCTATGTTGTACTCGATGATGCAACTGCTGGTATTCTTTCATTGGTGATGTGTTTTGGACTTATTCCGAAGCATTAAGTGTTGTGACATGTCCAATATTTTGGGGTTGATCATTGGTTTCAGCATAAAGGACTGCACTTTGGCTATGACGCTCGAGGGAAGCCATTGGGGAAGAAGACAATAAAAGAATCTGGATAGAATATTATGTTATTTTTATTTCAGATTTTTTCATGTGTAATTTGGAGATGTACTAAGCCGAGTTTTAATATAATACCCCTTCCATTCGCAAAAAATGGAGAGAGAACTTTTTAAATAGATTCGTTATACTTTTTTCTCATGGATACGAATAAACGTCCGATATTTCATATTTTTATCGAATACGAATCTAGAATCGAATAGAGAAAATACTAAAAAATGAATTACGATGCATCCATTTATTATTCACAATAAAAACAAATATGAATACAGATATCTATATTACAAGTTTTGGTGAATATGAATGTCGGATAATTTCAGATTTTCACTACAAAGCCGCCGCCTAGGGTATCTTTACCTAGGAAACTCCTGCTCCTCGCCGTCGTCGCGCCGCCATCGCGCCGAGGGCCCTTCTCCTTCTTCCTCTCCAGTGCATCTGCCAGGGACAGGAAGGTGAGGGGACCCATCCTTTTTCCTGCAGTTTTTTCTAGTTGGTTAGGGTTTAGTCCAAATAAATTTTTTGACGAAATAAGATGATTTTCGGTCGGGATCGTGTGTCCTGTGATAACTTCAGTGATTGCCACAGCGAGATCGCCATTGCAGGCGTCGATTTCATTGGCACGCGGCCAATTTGTGGCCTTTATCTGCAAGGGGAGGGGCCCTTCTAGGGCACTCCTAACGAGAACAGCGACTCCGGATCATCGATCTAATCGTCGATGATCGCGGAGAGGAAATCAAGGTCTCAAGGTGATGAATCTACATCCTATGTTGTACCTGACGATGCAACTGTCGATATTCTTTCATCGATTCAGATGCGTTTTGGACTAGTTCCAAAGCGTTGAATCTTGCGGCATGTCCACTGTTTTGGGATTGGTCGTTGGATTTGGCATAAGGACTGCACTTTGGCTCCGACGTTCGAGGGAAACCATTGGGGAAGAAGACAATTGAAGACTCTAGATAGAAATTATGTATTTTTTATTTTAGATTTTTTCGTGTGTAATTTTGGGGTGTACTGTGCCAAGTTTTAATATAAACCCCCTTCCCTTCGCAAAAAAAGGATAATTCAGATTTTCTATTTCTATTTTGCATCCCTAATCATATGCAGAGGAAAAGTTTTATTCGGACACTCTGCGCTGCTGCATGTCGCATTTAACTGACCGCGCCGATGAATAATTACCGTTGAGTTTGGTGCCTGCCAGGCTGCCACACCCATGCCCAATAGCAGGAATGGTGAGTGGCGCACGCTGCACTGGTAGGCAGTGGCTCTTGGGAAACTTCACATCGTCAAGGGCTCAAGGCTGCCCCGTTGTAGACCGGACTAGCCTAGGTCGTGGGTCCTTTCGGCAGAGCTTGTCATTTTTTTTCTCCTCTCAAAATAAGCTAGAAGCTAGGGAAGCTTTTTAGTCGGTGATGCTACAAATAGGACGTCCGACGCCTGCGACTCCCTCTAGATGGACGCGTGGCGTGACGTTCACCACAACTTTGCCTTTTTTTTATTCCCTGCTCATTTCCATGTCTCTTATTCTCATCCACTCATCGCTTTCTTAACTGCTTCCACTGCGTTAACGTTCTTCTCTGCTCTATTTCCCTTTCTCTAATCTCCTTTGTTTCCCCCAAGCGACAGAGCCAGATCCTTAGTCCCAGTAGCTCATGAAGACGAGGAGGTACCTAGAGGTGGCTCACATAAGCCTAGAGATGTCCCTTGCGGTGGAAGGCGTATGCGAGGCAAAAACGCGCCACCCGTGCCGCGCTCACCCGCCCTCCGCGTCACCGCTGCCCGTGCCGCTCCCACCCGGCCCTCTATGCTGCGCCGCCCAGCTCCGCATTGCTGGCGAGCCCACCGATGACCTCTATGCACCAACCACCCACCCTCTACGCACACCGCTGCTCGTGCTGCCCCGGCCACACCCTCCCTCTGTGCACCGCCACCCACTCCGAGTTGTCGGCGAGCTCTGCGCCGCCGGCTAGCACACCGGTGACCTCCACGAGCCGACGAGCCTCCATTTGCGAAGCAACAAGGAGATGTTTGCGCTGAAAGAGCATGTTGCAAATGTAGGTTTCGAGTGTTTTAGGTGTTTCAGAGATATGAGGCAATTGTTGTATATCGATGCTGCAAAAGTAAATCAGGATGTTGCATATGTTGCAAAGGTCTGTTACCAATGTTTAATCTGTATTTTCGGATGTATGTTGCAAGTGTTTTTATCTGGATGTTGCATATGTTTCACACATATGTTGCATGTGTTTTATCTAAATGTTGCGTATGTTTGTAAAGGTTTTCAAGTGTTTTTAGGTATTTCTTCAAGTGTTTCAGAAGTATGTTGCAAGTGTCGGTTTCAAATCTTTCAGTTGTTTTCAGACATATGTTGCAATTATTTTATCTGAGTGTTGCATATGTTGCAGTGGCTACACATATGTTGCAAGCATATGTTCCAAATCTTTTATCTGTTTTAGACCTATGTTGCAACAAGTCCTCCATGTTGTAAGTGTTTCATGAGGCGCAGGCGGTCCCTCGGGCGCAAGTGGTCCCCACGGGGCGAGCGAGCACAGAGGGGGCGAGAAGACGCAGGCGCGCAGCATGGCGCGAGCGAGCAACGGCGCAGACGAGCAACAGCTAGGCATGGGCAAGCAATAGCAAGGCGAGTAAGGAACGGCGAGCAGCAGGGCGGGCTTGCATGCTCCGATGTGCGTCCTTGAGTGGGGCAACCAGAGGGAGTGCATGGGAGAAAGCCACCCGATGTGGGACCCATCGCAGAGGTAGCGGCGCTGGAGCATTGCCGTTTTTTGCCAATCCGTTTTAACTACTAGAATCAATGAGTTTCCCTATAGTTTTTAAAGTTCCCTACGGTGTTTTGATCGTCCTAGGGAAAGATATGTTTCCCTAGAGTTGGGTGACAAAACCGTAGGGAAACTTGGCTTTCTCTAGGATTGCACGTTTTGATCGGGGCTGATTCTGAGGAAGAGGCGTCTCCCTTGCCATGCTGGCACCTTTCCCTACTACATGGACACAATTCCTAGGGACATTGACCCAACATGGCGCTAACATGACGGCACCAAAATTTTTCCCCTCCCCGCAGCATACCGCCACCGTCTCGTGCCAATCTTTCTCTAGACGCTGCCCTTCTCCCGCCGTCGCCGCCACCGCCACCAATCTTCTCTCTCGCGCACCAAATCTTCTCCCATTGCTGCCCCAAAGCTCTCCCGCCGCCCCAATCTAGTGCGCCGCCACCAAAGCTTCCTACCGCTGCCCCAACCCATCCAATGGGGTGCCTCCCAAATCCACTGCCCTCGCTGGATCTGCAAGCACCCCAAGCCTAACACCACCCAGCCCTAGCTATTCCTTTGCCCCCATCCCAATTTCGTGACCCAAGCGAGATGCTGAGGTGGCAAGAAGGACCTGCGGAGGAGGCGAGGAGAACCTTCTAGGGTGCTGCAGGAGGCGAGGGAGGTGCTGATTTGGATGAAAGAAGGACCTGCAGTGGAGGCAAGGAGAACCTGCAGAGGTGCTGGTGGCCTGCCGTTGCCCTGCGGAGGTGCTGGTGGCCTACCGTTGTCCTGCGGAGGTGCCAGTGGCCTATCGTTGTGTTGGCAAGAAGGTAGGAATTGGCAATACCCCTGCTACGTGCTGCTGTGTTACTAACAATGAGATGTGCTTCCTATTTCTTTCGTGCTACTGAATAATGGCTCAAAGTGAGATACGAATCTACTACATGGATTTAACCAACAATTAAGATGTATATATTGCTCATGTGTGATGCACCTGCAGCCTTTATGTTGTGTTTTGCATTTCTTATACTTCTTGAAAACAATCAGGAACTATTTAATTGACTTGAGTGGTGCAGAGACTATTGTAATTGCTAAATTTGTTTGGTTCTGAACTAATCTTTGATCATTTCCAAAAAAAATAGAAATTCAGGTAGACTGGCTAGTGAGTTATAAGCTACTGAATTTTAACTAGGAAATATGTAAGTTATGGTGCAAACTAATAATTCCTCTTGATGGACTAGAGAAATATACCATTTCACATTTATTCAGATTCAATAACTGTGTGCTTGATTTCTTGTTTGTGATACAAAATATTACTGCACTATTAGTTGTCTGCTCATAGGCTCTACATGCTAATTTAGACCATTATCTACTCTGAATATTAGTCATTCAGATCTGGAACTAATATACTTTGCCTTTCCATTATGCAAACTTCAGTTTGAAGTAGGAGGAGAAGATCTTGGCTTTGTAAGGAAGACTCAAATGCGATAAAGAAGGCAGGGATCTACATCTGTGCTGCTGTGCAAGAGAAGCTTGAAGGTGAGAAGCAGATTTATCTTTTCACATCTCTTCCATACATTTGTACTAAATTATTATTTTTTTAGTAGCACAAATTGTTATCTATGGGTTTGCTCAGGGTTTTAGATATTGAACAGGGGTTTATTATTGCTACAATAACTAGCCATGTCAATAGAAGACCGTAGTTGGATGTACGAAGGGTGGAATGACAATGGTTGTCATTCACAGGAGTGGGTGCAGAAGACAAATGCTTTTCTAGACCATGCTTTCAGTCTTGTTCTTGATTCTCAAAAATTTGGAGTACTTTGCCCATGTTCAGATTGCGACAATAGAGTTAGACAAAGGAGACCTATCATGAGCTTGCATTTGTGTAAAAGAGGTTTTACACTTGGGTATACTATTTGGACTGAACATGGAGAGAAACCTTTTAGTGAGCCCACATTGGAGAATGCCAATGATACTGCTGATGGTTTAGATGAAATGTTAGCTGATATTGGCGATGCAATGCATACTGTTAGTGATGAAGATGAACCCTAGCTGATGCAAAGGCATTTTATGCCATGTTGGAAGCTTCACAAGAGCCCGTACATAACTACACTAGTGTTGCATAGCTAACCGCAGTTGCTCGGTTAATGGCAGTTAAATCACAACATAACCTTGGTGTAGAATGCATTAATAAAATATTGAATCTATTTGATGATGTCCTGCCTGAGAACCATAAAATGCCAAAAACATTTTATGAGTGCACAACTCTTCTCAAAGGTCTGAAAATGCCATATGTTAAGATAGATGCTTGTGAAAACAATTGTATGATATACTACGGAGAAGATATAAATAAGGAAAAATGTGATTTCTATGGGGAAAGCCGATATGTAGTTGTTGAGCCATCAACAGGGCGTAAGCGAAAGCCAATACCACATAAGGTTCTACGTTATCTTCCATTCATACCAAGGTTGCAGCGGCTGTACATGGAGCCCAAAACCACAAAGCACATGCGGTGGCACAAGGAGGGTAGGCGTGACAACCCAAATGTTATGGTCCACCCATCTGATGCTGAGGCTTGGACACATTTCAATACAGTCTGCCCAGAGTTTGCAGCGGAGGCTAGGAATGTTCGTATTGCTATGGCAACAGATGGCTTCAATCCATTTGGATTTGGAAAATCTAAAAATTCTTGTTGGCCAGTTTTCGTGATTCCTTTGAACTTGCCACCAGCTCTTTGCATGAAGGAGGAAAACATATTTCTTAGTCTAGTGATTCTTGGACCAGAGCATCCCGGTAAAAAATTGAATGTGTTCATGCGACCACTAGTAGATGAGATGAAGAAAGCTTGGGCAGGAGTAGAAACCTATGATAGTTTTTCGAAGAGAAAATTTACAATGAAGGTTTCATATCATAATTCCATTCATGACTATCCTGGGTTGGGCATGTTCTCTGGATGGTCTACACATGGTGGGTTGGTATGTATCGATTGCATGGCAGATGTGGATAGCACTTGGCTACCAAATGGGCGCAAGTATAGTTGGTTTGATTGCCATAGAAGATTTCTACCAGCTAACCATGAATTTAGGGACCAGAAGAATGCATTTAGAAAGGGTGTAGCGGTTCATGACATACCTCCACGTCAATTAATTGGGGTAGAGGTGCAAGAATACATGAATGAAGTGAAAGATAAATCTTTTGATGGTTATGGCACTACTCACAATTGGACTCACATCCCATTCCTGTGGGAGTTGCCATATTTCCCTGAACTTCTGCGTCCACATAACATTGATGTTATGCATACGGAAAAAATGTAGCAGAAGCTATTTTCTACACATGTCTTGACATTGGTGATAAAACCAAGGATAATAATAAGGCTCATCTTGACCAACCATTGATGTGCAACAGAAGACATCTCAATCTAGTTGAGAAGCCAAATGATAAATGGGATAGACCTAGAGCACCATTTTCCCTGAAAAGAGACCAAAAAAAGGATGTAATGCAGTGGTTTATGGACATCAAATTCCCTGATGGCTATGCAGCAAACTTAAGGAGAGGGGTAAACATGGATACACTACGGATAAACGGCATGAAGAGTCATGACTTCCATATATTCATTGAAAGTCTACTACCTGTGATGATGCGAGGTTTTGTCAAGGATGACATATGGGAAACATTAGCTGAGCTAAGTTACTTTTTTAGAGTCCTTTGTGCAAAGGAGGTTGACCGTGCCTAGATATGTCAACTAGAAGCAAGCATACCTGTTATTCTTTGCAAATTGGAAAAAATCTTTCCACCAGGTTTCTTCAATTCAATGGAGCATCTTCTGGTGCACCTTCCATATCAAGTTAGGGTAGGAGGCCCAGTAAAGTATACATGGATGTATGGAGTTGAGAGGTATAAACTTAGAACACCTATTATTTATCTTTCTGCCTTGTCATATGAAAACAACTAATTTAATCTTTTGTAGGTTACTAAAAAAAGTTAGGGCAAAAGTCCATAACAAGGCTCATGTTGAAGCCTCAATAGTGGAAGGCTGCCTAGTTGAGGAGATCTCTTACTTTACATCATTGTACTTACCTCAACTCATACCGAGCTCCCGAAATCGTCCACAACGTTATGCTCAAAGTGGTCCTCCATCAGATTGTACCCTTAGCTTGTTTCAAGTGCGTGGATGGAAGAGCGGTAGAGTGACAAGGTTTCTAACTTTTGAAGAGTACAAGATAGCAATGATTTATATCTTCACAAACATGACTGAAATGGAGGAATTTGTACAGTAAGTACACCAACTTTGACAAACAAAATACTAATTCTTATTGATCATAATTAATCTCCTGGCATAATCCATAGAAAATTTGAACAAGAGCAATGGAGACGTGCAAGACCACCAAATCAGAAACAACTAGATAATTTAAGGATGAATGGTGCTGGCAATGGGAAACCAGACTTGTTGGATTGGTTTAGAAGCCTGGTACTAGCTATTTTCTTAATTTCTTTACAGGTTTCAACATTCTATTAAACTATTAATTACATGTTAGTTTCAATTGTAACATTTCAGTGTGACATGGATGCAAGCATACCTAGTGAGCTACGTCATTTATCATGTGGTTGTGGCCTCAAGGTTAGGTCATATGATATTTATGAGGTTAATGGGTACAGATTTAGATCTGAAAAGTATGAAAAATCTAGAGGGAACCTGACTACCACCAACACTGGGGTGCTTGCTGTTAGTTTTGATGATAGCAACAATGAGCTTCAGTACTACGACATTATCAAAGACATAATTGAGTTGAAGTTTGATGGTGGTAGTGAATTCAGCCTAGTTTTGTTTGATTGTCATTGGTTCCACCCAATTAATGGAGTGAGGCAATTACAAAGGGTTGGACTAGTCGAAGTTGCCCATGCTTCTTGTAATCCAGCGAACGACCTTTTGTTCTTGCTAGCCAAGTGAAGCAAGTGTATTATCTTCCTTATCCATGTAAGTCTAGTGCAAGCCTTAAGGACTGGTGGGTTGCATACAAGGTCAGCCCCCTTTCAAACTTGTCTATTCCTACAATGGATGAGTATGATAATGAAGAATCACCATGTGTGGATACCTTTCAAGAAGATGGTTTAGACGGTGAAATCGTCGTAGACATTGGACTTGGCTTAGATGATATCATGATTAGTGATGGCTTTGATGAGATCAATGATCCAAATGAAATTTCCATGCTGATCAAACAACGAAATGGTGTGACAGTAGACAATGAGCCACCAGTTGAAGAACATGAGGGGTATAATACAGAATATTTTCTTGATGCCACACAAGTGGAATTCCAAGATCCTGATGACTTTTGATGGGAGAAGTAATACATTTATTTTGTTCCAACCATTTTCATACTTGCATTATTTCAATTATTTTCCAGTACACTTACTCATGGTTGCTGCATCATATTTTCAGGGATGACACTCACACATAGAGTGTTACGCAGTCAATCTTCCAATGCTTCTAGGGAGGTCCGATTTCGAGTCTAAATGGTCCTGCTGATTCTAATGCAGAAGATCAGCAAATTGGAACTGGAATTGGCTATTTACAAGGATGTGCAGATCTTCCCCCACTATTCCCAATGAGCAAGATCGTCCATTGATTGAGCCGGAAGGAAACTCGTGAGTTTGTAATCTTGCATTGTCATATTTATGCAACCCAACACTCATTTGATATCGCTAATTGATTTGTTTGATTATTTTTTGGAGGCACTGGACTGTGGTAGAAGGAAGGACTCCTTCAAGTGTGTTAACATGTTTACTGAAGAAGCAGCATCCTGGTTTGGTTCAGTACAAAGGCAAGACCATGGTGGCATCCACATGGAAACATTATCAAGCAGCCAAGGACGACTCTGGAAAATCTAAAGCTGATTTAGTTGCTGAAGGGTTTTGGGTAATTCTCTACTTCTATCTTGGGCACCAGCTACTTTCCTGCTACACGTTCATGCACTTGTGCTATTAGGTTCATGCAAAGTTTGATTTTAACAGAACCAGCTCATAACAGTTATTAAGTTGGGGTCCTAGAGCTCTCTTATGTTTTTGCTTGTTCTATGCAGAAAAGGTTTAGATTCGATCCAGTCAAAGAAGAGGCTTCAAGAGAACATGTTGGTGTCTGCTGCTCTGTACTCCTGGGGAGCATCATGTATTATGCAAGAATTACAGCTACAGTAGAGCATTTTCAAAAAGTAGAGAAAAGAACAATCTGTGACAAAATTGCTGGGCAATTCTATTTGACGAGGGACGAGTACATTGCACAACGTCCTCCTTGGTGCATACTAGAATGCTGGGAAGTTTTGGCCACGGAATGGAGCAGTCCTGAATTCAAGAAGAAGTCAGAGAAAAATCGTGCAAATCGTCTCAGTCGTAAATTTAAACCTCACAAAGGAGGATCCAACTCTATCGCAACAATACGACAGAAGATGGTTAGTGTTCACCTTGCTGATTTTCTATGAGATACTCTTTTGTAGGAAATAGACAACTAATTTCATATACATTCAAATGTAGTCCAAGAAACTCGGAAGAGAAATATCTGATATTGAGGCATGGGTACATACTCATAGAGGCTCAAATCATGAAGATATTACTTCACTAAACACAGAAGAAGCGACTTCATGCTTGGTAATTGCTAGATGCTGATTTTCCAATTTTGTAGAATTTTCATTTTACTTATTTTGCAAATGTTCACACAATCATATACATATACACACATTGGACAGGAAAAATACAAAGCTAAGGCCATTGAGTTAAATGGACCAGATTTTGATTGGTTGCACTCTTCGGTGGATCCTAGAGCTCTCTATGAATGCACTTGTGGTAGGCCACATGGCAAATGGGCCACTTTTAATGGGACCATCAATGATAGAGAAGTCCTTGCTGATTTGAAAAGAGGTCGTGCCTCGATCATGGCTGCTAGGCATCAATGTCAAGAGGAGGACGACCGTGTGAGGAAAGAAGCAAGTGATGGTCGTTTGGCTAAGGAATATGCCCAAAATATGTCGAATTGGGCAAGAATGGTACATACTCATAATGAAAACATGCAAAAGTTTATGGAGGTGAGATCTGTCATACAGCCCTATGTGTTCACTTTAGTGTCAATTTAGTTGCTTTTAATTTAGCTGCTTTCTATTATTAAACTGCAGTCGGTTGCTCTCCAAACTAGTATGCCTCTCGCAGCTGTTCCTCCTCTCATGCCTCCCCCACCTCAGCCTCCAACATATGCTATTTCGCCTACTCCAAATCTGTCTCCTGAAAATGTAAGTTTGCAGAACTTTTAGCATTAAATTATGAGGTATTTTGACATTAATTGAGTTTTAGTTGAACAGTGCCTTGGAATATCTCAAGTATCATGCTCACACAGAGCTAACTTGTACAGTATCATAACAATTATATGTTAGCTGTGAAAGTACCATAACAAATATATATTAGTTGCAGCAATCTTTAGAAAGCTATGGATGTTTATGCTAGATTGATGGAATGCTGGAATTTTAGTATCTATGGCCGTCACAGTTTGTTGTGTTTTGCATCTTTATGCTGTATGTCCTACTTCATGTAGAAATGCATATGCATCTACTAAGCAAGCTGAGCATGTCACTGTGGATAGAGTTGGAGGAGGTAGATACACGGCAGTAGCATCGAAAAAAAAATGCAGCCACTGCTGTGTCTATAAAACAATTTTTATGCACATGGATACATCAATGCATTCTTTACTGTTCAATACATTTGAAAACTGAACCTACAATTTATAACACAACAAGTTGTTTTTCTAAAATTTTGATTGCTTTACTATCACAGGTCGGTACCTTTGGCTCAAGTGTTAGAACCGAAACTCCAGATGAAACTATAAGTAGGATTGCTCGTGGAGAATTCCATAGCCATGCAGATGGAACTCCAAATGGAGTGGATGGAACAGCAAGTGGTGGAGGCACATATTCTCCTCCGGACGAAGCATTTCCGTTCTTTTGATTGTCATCGAACTATGTGCTGCAGCTAAGTAATAGTTAGGTCTAACACCTGATGGAGGAGATAGACTTTTGCAAGCTAAGTAGGCAACTGTTGTTGCTTATTTTGTTTAAGTAATAGTTAGGTCAGCACCTGATGGAGGAGATATCTTTTAGAAGCTAAGTAGGCATGTCTACTAGGCTTTATATTAACAGACCTATAATTGTCTTATGATGATATAACTCTAAATGTTCGGTTCCATGGATTTGGCCTTTAATTAAATCAGTTCTTAAGTTCCTATTCATGTGTGTGAATCTGGATTATAAATAATTTCGTAATAATATTTGAATTCAAATATGAATTATGTATTCATGATTTGAATTTAAATGTTGTGCTTGGGTCAGCTGGTTTCCCTACAGTTCAAATTCCTAGGGAAAGTTTCCTGTAGGGTAATCACCTTTCCACGTAAGCTTTATCAGGGCCATCTTAGGTACTTTACCTAGGGATGCAATTTCCTAGGGAAAGACTATTTCCCTACGGTTTCCACATAAACGGTAGGGCACATCTCTCTTTCCCGTCGCCGCACTCCCTAGGAGTCTTTCCCCACCAAATACTCTAGGGAAACTACTTCCCTACCGTTTTCCGGCCTTTCCCTAGGATTCTCGGCCCAAGGGAAACTCATTCATTCTAGTAGTTGGCCGTTGGTGGGCCTAGCTGACAGCTGAGGGAGATGTGTTCAGCTGGCTATACGGTCGCTCGTCCGCGAGTGTGCAGGTGCGAGTGCGCCGCTTGGGCCGCACGGGCGAGCACGCGCTGGGCTGAGCGGCGGAAGCGTTGCGGGCGTCCAGACGCGCGCTTGTGTCTGAACGTCCGGGAGCTAGTAAGCCCCTTTTAGTTTCACCAGCTCCTTCGCATACTGTACCAAGAAGCAAAGAGCTATTTAGAGCCATGCCAAACAAAGACCTAAGTAGTAGATAGAAAATACTTATTTATGCATAGAGCTTCTTTCTATTGTTGCAGCATCAGCAATAGATAGGAAATAATACAACTTTAAAACATTTGGCAGTTCGTGGCGGATTTGTTGAGGAAATTGGAAACATAATGAGCATGAGCATAAGATTACGCTTAGGTCTATAATTGGACAATGAATATATTGCAGTGTGATAACATGGATCATTCCGTGCAACACGTGGACACAAACCTAGTGTTAACTAGTCAAAAGACAAAGTAGCATGGTTGCACCACATGGTAGCACCGCCACATCATGAGAATTCCAAAATAATGCACCCATGAAATTTGTGTCAAACAAACCTCGATCTCCGATTTGTGTAAGCTAGCTAGTCAACGGCATAGCCGAACTCATCATACTGCTCGAGGAGTGCCTTCTGCCAGGCATGCATCTTAACGAAAAACCTCGAATGTCGATGTAGGAAGACCTTTGGTGAGCACGACGGTGTACTGTTCACTGGTCGGAACGTGTAGAACGCGGAGGTCGCCGACCTGGATGCCTTCGCGAACAAATATATATCGAGCTCAGTGTGTTTGGTATGCTTGTGATGCACCGGATTGGCCGACATGTACACTGCCGAGACGTTGTCGTAAAACACCACCATGGCCTTGTTAACACAGCAATGGAGCTCGCCAAGCAGCTGACGCAGTCAAATGCACTCGGCCGAGCGTTCTCCACGGCGCGGTACTCTGCTTCGGCGCTGGATCGTGACACCGTGGGTTGCCGCTTCGATGACCACGAAACGAGAGGGAGTCGCCAAGGAACACACAGAACTTGGAGGTGGAGCGCCGAGTGTCTGGGCATCCCGCCCAGTCAGTGTCAGAGTACGCCATGATGCCGAGCTCGGTGGAGGCGCGGAGAAGAAGTCCGTGCGACATCGTCCCGCGGACCTATCAAAGAACGCGTTTCAGCACCGCTAGGTGTGGAGCACGCGGATCATGCATGTGCAAACGTGTCTGTTGAACGGCAAATGCAATGTTGGGTCTTGTTATCGTTAGGTACTGGAGAGCACCAGCCAGGCTGCGGTATGTCTTGGCGTCGTCAATGGCGGCACCGTTGGCGGAGAGCTTGCCCTTTGCATCTATCGGTGTGGCGACGGGATTGCACAAAGCCATGCCGGTTCGGTCGAGGATGGCGTCCGCGTATCGCTCCTGGGAGAGGTAGAATCTGTCTTTGGTGCGCCGGACATCGATGCCGAGGAAGAACCGGAGCTCGCCCATGTCTTTCACGACGAATTCGGCGCGCGGCCGGTCGACGACGTGTTGGAGTAGGGCCGGAGACGAGCCGGTCAGGACGATGTCGTCCACATACAGCAGGAGGTAGGCGATGTTGTTGCCGTGCCGCAGCGTGAACAGGGACGAGTCGGAGTATGTCGCTGTGATGCCCAGCTTGATGACGAACACAGCGAATCGCTCGAACCAAGCGCGCGGTGCCTGGCGGAGGCCATATAGTGACTTGTCGAGGAGGCAGACGGCGTCGGGTCGTTCTGCGTCGACGAACCCTGTGGGTTGCTGGCAGAGGACGTGCTCCTTGAGGTGACCATGCAGGAACGAGTTGGAAACGTCGAGCTGTTTGGTTGCCCAGTTCCGCGACGCCGCGATGGTGAGCACAGTGCAAATCATGGCCGGCTTGACGACCGGCGTGAGCGTCTCATCAAAGTCTACACCAGCACGCTGAGTGAAGCTCCTTGAGAGTGCCATCGGGATTGAGCTTATGCTTGAACACCCATTTGCCAGTGACGATGTCGGTGCCGGGAAGACGATCGACTAGGCGCCATGTCCTGTTCTTCCGCAGCGCCTCAAATTCGAGCGCCATGGCAGCACGCCAGTGCGGATCCTTCAGAGCAGCTCGAGATGATTTGGGTAGTGGAGAAATCTTAGTGATGTGGGTGTTGGAGCCGAGGTTGATGTCAATGCATACCTCAGGTTGGGTTTGAAGACCTCGGCATGAGATCGAGTGAGCATCGGGTGGGGGCAGCTATTGCAGGTATGATAGGTGCAGCAGATGGCCTGGCGATGCAGAGTGGCCAGCCGACAGCTGTGAAGGTGAGGCGCCGGAAGAGGTGGCGAGTGGCACTGAGTGGTGGGAACGTGCCACGGAAGAAGCAGACGCCGGTGTGGTTGCGGTGCTCGCGCCGGAGGGGTGACTCTGAATGGGAGCAGCGGGCAGGATGACAGGCGATTCAGGTACTGTAGACTATCTTGCTGTTGTCGGTGTTGTCTGAATTTCAGCAAAAGAATAGGGAAACTGAGTTTCATCAAACACCGGCCACATGGCGAGAGGTGACGCGTCTACTGCAAAGATCCAGACACCGGTACCCGCGGTGATCCGTAGGATACCCAAGAAGAACGCATGGAGTGGAGCGGTGACTGAGTTTGTGAGCAGCAATGGATGCCTGATTGGGGAAGCAAAGGCATCCAAAAACTCGAAGATGATTGTAATCGGGGGCGGTGCCCAGGAGAAGCTAGAAGGGGGTCAATGAACCGTTGGTTTGACATGGCCGGCGATTCAATAGGTGAGTAGCTGTAGATAGTGCCTCGACCCAGAAGGCCTCGGGCATGTTTGCGTGATAGAGAAGACTGCGAATACAATCGTTCATCGTGCGGATGATCCGCTCGGCCTTTCCATTCTGTGAGGATGTGTAAGGGAATGAGAGGCGTAGAACAGCGCCATTGTCAGTTTGTAAAGCAAAAAGAGGAAGCTGAAACTGTGTACTGACATAGGCATGGAATGACTGTATACACTGAAAAACTTCAGACTTGGCACGCAAAGGAAAGGTCCATACATAATAAGTGTAATCATCAATTAACACAAGATAATACTTAAACCCAGAAAAGCTAGCTATGGGTGATGTCCAGACGTCAGCGTGTACAAGCTGAAAAGGAACATAGGACACTGAAACTGACGAAGAAAAGGGCAGGCGAACGTGCTTGCCCAATTGACAGGCTTCACAGGTTGGGGACGACAGCTTGGTGGAGTGGAAGTCAAGGTTGGGCAATGTCTTGCCAAGTGTTTGGCGGCCCGGGTGACTGAGACGCTGGTGCCACAGATCGACAGTAGGCATGGTGGCAACCAGAGCCGCAGGTGACAAGGCCGCCAGAGGATACAGCTCCCCGCGTGAGGAGGTCCTTGATAGAGAAACCAAGCAGATCAAACTCAATGGAGACGTTGTTATCGCGAGTAAGAGAGCGGACAGAGATGAGGTTCTTAACAAGAGATGGGGAAACCAAGACATTGTTCAGAATAAGGGGTGAACGTGCGGTGGCAATGGCGGATGACGCACGGTGGGTGACCGGGAGCGACGCACCATTGCCAACAGTGATTGGTGGGGAAGAAGAAAGAGGAACGAGAGACGAGAGGTTACCGGACGTAGATGACATGTGGGAAGATGCCCCAGTGTCCAGGTACCACTCGGTGGTCTGTGGCCCGGACGGTGGAACGCCAGCGTTGGCCAGGGCGGCAAGCTGAGCTTGGTGATTCCAGACGTCGGCCGGTGCAGCGAAGTAGGCCTGATTGACCGGAGTGCCGGGACGTGGGCCGAGAACGCCGGCCCCCGAGACGTAGAATGGCATCAGCCAGGCCTGAACCATGCCCATCCACGGGTTCAGGCCGGGCATCCATCCAGCGGTTGGAGGACGCGGAGCGGAGTTGGAGGGTGGACCCCACATCCGCGCCCATGCTTCTTGGAGCCGTGACTATTGTCGGAGTGAGGCGGGGCGCTGTGGCCCGACACAGGTGGCCGGGGGGCGTTGTTGGTGGAGCTGGATCTGCCGTCGACGGTTGGTGGAGGTGGGCGCCAGGAACCGCTAGTGGCCACCAGGGCGTGGTGCGCAGCAGCCTTGGCGTGCTCCCGATCGTAGTGTTCCTCTAGGAGCAGGGAAGAGCGAGCGGAGAGGAAGGTATGTGGAGGCTGTTTCACCATGATGACAGGGATAACATGGCGGTACTTGGAGTTGAGGCCGCGCAAGAGGTTAAGCACCTGGCTGGTTTCTTGGATGGGTTGCCCGATGTCCCG